TTTTTTTTTTTTTTTCCCTTGCCACCAGAAGAAATCCGCTCAGCCTTTAGGCAAGATAATCCCGGCCAGAGTAGGGGGATCCCAGGGTAAACACAGAAGTTGCGGGGACACGCCCACGGCTAAACTAGCTGGAACGGTAGAAATCAGGCGGTGGGGAAGGAGAAGGAGCAGAGGTTAATGGTCTCCCGTCTGGACCGAGGAAAAGCCCACCTTCACCCAAGAGGGCCCAGGGTGAAAAAAGAAAACGCTGGGAGAAGGGGGTGCACCCGAATGCGGGTCAGATTTCTCTAGGAAGGGCGGCCCCGGGATGCGCGGGGGCGGGGCCAGGCAGCGCGGGATGTGGGAGCCGCTGGGTGACTTCTGGCAGCAGCTCTGGACGCGGCTCGCCCACAGACACTGGGAGGGTGAAAAGTGGGATTAAATGACTGCCCCAGAAAGGAGCCAGCCCCGTAACCGGATCCCCTAGGTGTGGACGGAGGAGCCCAGCACCACCATAATTGCTGTTCGAAACCGCTGCCGATAGCATCCCGGCGCGCCTGATCCGGTTCCCCTCATTACCGCAGCGCGGTATAAGTGCTCCTTTGTGGCAGGCCAATTAAAAAGTTACCTCTTTCGGGGAACTGTTTTTGCTTCGCCGCCGCTTTGCGCAGGGCTGGAGCCCGGGAGGTGGCGGCGGGCGGGCACAGGGGGGCATTGTGGAGAGGGGGGTCAGGGAGTCCGGGGGAACCCACCGGACCTCGCCTCTCATGAATGGGGCTTTTCTCGAGCGCACACAGAGCCCGATTCACAGGTCTCCGCAAGGAACCAGTTTAAATAAATACGGGCAGCATTTCAGCCCCATCTGGAAGCCATCGCTGCCAATCTCCCAACGCAAACAAGCCTCACAAAGGAGGATTGAGGTCTCTCCCCTCAGCCGAGGGGCACTTTCGCAGGCGAGGGCTGTGAAATGCAGATGTGGGTCAAAGACGCCGCCTCCAATAAGTTTCTCAAAGTCGTGGACAGATGGGGAGGAGGGGCGTGCCCGAGCTCTAGGTTTCTGACATTCCTGACGTCCACGCAGACTGTGCCTCTCCCCACGTCACTTCTTTGGGTCCACCGACCCAGGAGAGGGGGTTACGAGGCTCGGATGCGCCTGGGAGCGAAGTCAACCGCC